AGCCCTAATTGGTGAAAATGGTTTAAAAGGAAAATAAAGTTACTGTTTCTGGAGCCTCGTTTATTTCCATTTTACTAGACAACATTGGGACAGTGTCTTTACTAGCAGCAGCATGTAATGAAGTCATTATACCCATAAATCAAGAAACAAAGAGCTCACAGGAGGGTTCTGGATTTTTTTTTTAGTTAATATAAGCAATTCTATAAAAGTGTCCTCCTAAATACACCGGAATCTTTGTTGTAAACAAAAAAGATAACAATAATACACATTAGGCGGCTGTTAATTAGCCAATGCAGCTGTTTGCATGGCCTTGCTTCCCGACCAGCTTAGTCTGTAGCAAGTTATCAGCCAGGTTGGAATAGGAGCATCCAGTGGTTTGCAGTAGGGAGATGATGAGGGATTGTTTGCAGTTTGGAGGGAAATGCAGCCAATGTCCTGATCCCACTGGTCTTACCACTCAGCCATGGGCACGTTCCACATTCAGAAACAGGCTGTGTCTAAAACACCCTCCCTAAAAGCCTGGCTTACGAAGCTGGGTCTTATCCACAGTTTGTGCATGGAGAAACCGAGGCACAGAGAAATGGAGACTTGCTCAGGGTCACCCCTCTCCTCTGCCAAGTTCCAGGGGGCAGGGAGGTGAGTAGAAGCATGGGCGCTGGGCAGCCTGCAACCTCTACTCTCGCAGGACTCCTTCCACTCACTGACCCTCGACTCCATGCCAGGGGAAGCGCTGGCTCAAGGACTAGTACAGATGGGGAGAACTCCTTGGGAAGCCAGGAGGGGAAAAGGGCAAGCTAGCAACATGACACACCTGTGGGAGTTCAGCCTTGGGGGCACTAGCACTCAGCCAACTTGCTGTCAATTTCACCTGCTCTGCTGGAGGGCAGCTGCTCAGCAGGGACTGGCTAAAATGAAGACAACACACCACTGGGCTGGACCCTGAAAGCCATGACACTGCAGCTTGTAGGGCACACAATCCCGAGCCACAGCTTCTCTGGGTTATCCTATTTCCTACTGTTGGCCCTTCTGACACCAGGGTCTGTTCCCTGTGCTGAGCAATACAAGGCCACAGTCACCTACCTGGAAAAGAAATCAGTAGTGTGGAATCTGGACTTATTCTAAGTGTAGCTTGTCTTATTTACACCCATCCAACAGCCCTGGAAGGAGATGGTCAAACAGCATGCAGGGCAATCCCTTCTACCGGGAATCACAGCCTAGCACCAATGCCTTGTTCCCAGGAAGCAGCTCTGCCCCAAGAATTTACTCCACTTACATCCTAAGACAGAGCGCAAACTCTCCTGCAGCTGACAGCTCTTTCCATGCAGAAACGTATAGAACTAAACAAAGCAGGTCCTCGCAGGGATGAACATTTGCTCACATGCTAAGGCCTGGTCTACGCTGGGGGGGGGGGGGGGGGAAGAGGGGGAAATCGATCTAAGTTACACAATTTCAGCTATGTGAATAATGTAGCTGAAGTCGACGTACTTAGATCCACTTACCACGGTGAGTCGACTGCTGCCGCTACCCCGTCGACTCCGCCTGCGCCTCTCGCCGAGCTGGGGTACAGCAGTCGACGGGAGAGCGCTCGGGGATCGATTTATCACGTCTAGACAGGGACTGGCTCCACCTCCCATTTGAAACCCAGCTTCTGCCCTCTCCTTAAACTTACAGGTGCCTCCAGGAGCAGCATACAAAGGGAGGAGTGAGGGAAACAAAACACAATCATGCAGAAAGCACAGGGGACTGACGGACGCACAAACACACAGGCGTGCGCACACATACACAAGAACTGTTGATGGAGAGCCAAAGTCCACTAAGCAATGCCAACCCTGAGGCAAGCCAGCAACAAGGTGGGCATAGACCATTTCCCCGCAGTACCACCCATTCCTACAAAGACTTTGGCTCCAACCAGCCAGATACACCAACACCTGCAGAAAACTCCCAAGAAGAAGAAAATTCAGCAAGCCAAAGATACAATGCAACTGGATTCCCCAGCAGGGGCATGCCCTTTATACACCTCACTTCCGGCTGTTTCTTCTGACGATCCTTCCGTCCCTGCACACGGGACTCCAGAGATCAATCACACCTCGCTCAGAACGGAGCATCTCAACGTTGCCCAGCTACTTCACGACCCAGCACGACGACGCCAGGTGGAGTCTGCCGCAAGATCGCCCGATTCCTCTGGCAGAGTGGGCCCGGCACAGCTAGCGATCTCACGTCTGCGTTGGCATCCACTCATATCAGCACCACACAAACGCCCAAGGCACAGCCTTAACATTACAGGGTGTGGGGGGGAAGCTATTTGGGGCTTAAGCTGAAACTGCCCCCACGGAGCCCAAACCAGGCTGCCAATGGATGGCAGCCCCACACAGACCTGTCTTTGTGGCGCCCACTATGACCCTATTCCCAGCACACCACTGACAGCGGAGCTTGCTCATGGCCACCCTACTCTGCCCCTGCCCCATGGGAATTCTCCCCTGGCCTGACGCAGCCTTTGATGGGCTGCAGAGGGAAGGAGCCAGAGCCTGGATTTTAGATAGACACAGACAGAGAGGCCGGCTGCAAAGCCTATCCGCAGGGCTACGGAGCACTACATGAAATAAGAGAATACTGAATATCTACCTGCCAGGCGTTACCAGCCTAGGAATAATTGCACTGCAGTGACTCTTGCTTTCATTAAGAGCAGAGCATTCATCTTGTGCACGGGGCACATCCCAGCCATCAAAGTCCCCATTTCCCACCCTTCACTTGGTACCATTGCTCATTTCAGACACAACCCACCCACAGAGCAGAGGGCACCTTCTCCTGTTATCTTCTATCCATTCCAGCCTCCCCCTGCCTGATCGGTCGCTCCAAATCCCCTCTCACATGTGCCGTATAAGCACCAGGCAGCCAGCGGCTGTGTTCAGCGAGGCAAGGCTTAATGAAAATCAGGTATGTTTTCTTAGGGAAAGATCGATGCAGTCTCCTTCCCCAGCCAGTCTCAGAGCACACGCACCCCACCCCAGCCCTGCACTGAGCACCCTTACAGATTGCCCGGGACAGCTACTTCAAAAAAGGGGACGATCCTGGGAAAACCTGGACAGGTGGCACCGCACTCCCCAGCTGGGTCACTGCTGCTGCCCTATATACCCATCTTGCCAAAATCTAACGTCCCACCAGCAAGGGGTTAAGTGCGGCAGACGGAGGGAGGGCCCCACTACTCCACTCTCCAGCGGGAAAGGATTCAAGTTGACTCACTTGTTACACAACCCTGAGCAGGAGAAGCTGGGAACATCTGGAGCGGCAAGAGCCGCAGGTTTGAAGCCCACGAGGCGCTCCCCTGCGCATTTCTGAGGCCTCTCTGGGAATCCCAGCGGAAGGGCAGTTCGGTGAGCTGGAGCCAGCACACCTGGCTGTCCCTGGCTCGCTGCAGGGCAGGAGGAGGGGAATGCAGCCTCAGGCTGCTGGCCAGAGACACCAAGAATCCTGGACGGGGGAAAAGGGCTCTAAGAAAGAGGGCGACGGCCTGGCAGTGAGTGAAGGGCCACCTGCTTGCAACCCCGCTGAATGCAGAACCCCGCTGCTAACACAGCAGGCAACAGCTCAGTCAGTCTGCTGCCCAATGCACCGCCGCCAGCCCCTCCTACCCTGCCCCCGTTTACCATAGCCACCGTGCCAGCTCTTTGGGGCAGGGCCGTCTTTCGTTCCCCGAGTCCAGCGCCTAGCGCAATGGGAGGCTACCCTGACTGGGGCCTCCAGGCACAACTGGAAGTAACCCATAGCCCATACCATGGCCTCCTAGCTCTCTGTTCAGCTGCCTCCGTAGGAAAGGCCAGCACCCGAAGGGTTAAGAGAAAAACAGCCTGGGCTTCTCTTGCTGAAAAGTTCTCCTACATTTCTGAGAGCCACAGAAGGGGGAGCCCTGAGGGCGGCTCATGCAGAAATCAGGGGATACGGAATCACCATTAATCCCTGTAAGCACAGGAGCACAGACAGTGAGATAGTAGAGCCAGGCAGGAAGTGAAATGGGAGTCTAGCAGGCAGAGGGATTCCCTCCCGACCCTCCCAGGCCCAGAGCTGCCAGGGTTAGAAGATCAACCAGCTCTGAGCGAGGCCACCTACCCCAGCCGAGACAGACGGGTCCCTCGCTTGTTTGCCGGGTGGCGCTGGGAGACAGGATTCTGGTGTGGAAATGAAGCATTATTCAAAGTCTCCCATCAGGGAAGGAACTCAGGTGACCTTTCCCCTCCCTGACACCTACAAGAGTCCAGCACTGATCTGGAGCCCGCCCGCCTTGCCCAGACTGATGACTGGTCAGCACGAGTGGTCTCACTCCCACGGGTAATGGACAAGCGCCCATATCAAAGACCCCCACAGCCGGCCCCTCAATGGCCATCTCGGCAGAGACTCCCCTCTCGCTGCTAGAGCGCTCCCCATCCGCCAGCGGGGTGGAGTCCCAGGGGCAGAAATCGCTGCCATCCGTGCTGCACCCATTCCACGCACAAAGCTCTTCTGCTGCCAAGCTGCCACGCGCTCTCCTCCTCCTTCCCTTCCGCCCCAGGGCCACGCCGCTCGGAGCACCACAGCCTCCCTGGGAGGCAGGCGAGCGTCCCGCCCAGTGGGTCAGTGGCACAACGGGAACAGAACCCAGGGGGTCTGACTCCTCGTCACTGCCCGCAACCACCAGAACCTGCTCCAGGGGTCTGCAGCGATGGAACACGAGCACAGTTCGGTGGTCCGGAGGCTAGCGCTTCCTACTGCACACGGGCTCCCGGGCCATCCCCAGCAGTCACATGGCACCACAGTCAGTCCAGTCATCCCCACTAGCTTCATTTGCTGGCATAGGCACTTCCCACTGGCCCTCCAACACCTCTCTCCCCCTATGCCTGTTCCTGTGCCCAGGGCTGTCCTCCCCGCCCCCCGCACTTGACTGCTGCATATGGCATGTGGGACCTAGCATACAGAATCATCAGGCTGCGATCACCATGGGAGATCCCACAGGCCCAGCCGGTTCCCACCTTGTACAGGGCACCAAAAGCAACCAGACTGCTCTGAGGGTTGTGGATTCCTGCTGGCGCCTGAGACCAATGCGATCGGCTCCACCTCACTGTGAGAGCTCGGGAAGGTTGCCACATGGAGGGCAGGGCGGGAGCCTCCGTGCAGTGCTGATGGGTGTTAGCTCGGTGTGGGCTGGTGGGGCGAAGGTGCAGAATTTCTCTGGCCGTCCACCCCAGCTGCAACCCCCTCCACGCTCTTCCCGCAGTCTGAACTGGCTTCGCTCACCCTTACCCAGCAGCCTGAGCGGCTGCTGCCGCAGGGATTTCCAATCCAAAGAAACTGTCACCGTCTCACTCCTAATTCCTGCCATCTGTTGACTGGCTCAGATGCAGAATTCGGTCTTTGTTCCCACTGTGGCTTCCCAGGAGCTGGGCTGCACTGGGCAGCCGGTTCCCTGAGCTCAGCAGATTAGTGCGTGTGGTTAATATCACATGCCACAGGCAGGGGAGGACTAAGACCCTGGATCAGCTGATAGCAGGGGCCCCAAGCAAATGTGTTTCCAGCAGCAGCTTCTGCATGGAGGGCTCTCTCGCAGCTCCGTTCTGGTACATAAGCAGAGAGGGGTATGAGTCACAGAGGGCTGCCCTGTGACTAACTCTGTTCTTCCACTGTGAGCATTAGCTGCCCTGTCCAGTACAGCATCTCTCCCACTTGTAGGGATCAGGGTTGCCACCAGGCGGTCGTGACTTGACTAGGCAGTGGAGAGGGCACCGGATGGGGAGTAAGGAGATATATGTTCTATCCCTGCTCTGCCATCGACCTGCTGTGCGACTGCCTCTCTCTCCCACCCTTTCTCAGTGGAAGGGGCATGTCAAAGAGCTACCTTAACCCCTGCTCTGAGAGTTACCACAGATAATGCACAGGCGAGGGGAAGTGGCCCTAGGACACTGGACATGGTTTGGTGACCAGATGTTACATACAACTGTATGTTGCCCTCTCAAGGTATCACTTCCGGTTTGTTCACCATCCTCCAATGTACCCATTCATGAAAGCAGGACTCCCAGGGAGTCTGCACACCTGCAAGGACCAGGCAGAAGTTACTAGAATGATCGGAAGAGCCAAACGTTGACCTCTCGTTTTCCCCAGGTTTCTATGTGTAGCGATGCACGTCCTCCAAGAGACCCACAAAAACGCTTCCAGGATCTTTTCCAGAGTCAGCCCTTACGCGCGAGCCTACGAACAGCAGCACTAGCGCCCCCAGTCCCAACCACCTCACGAATGACTCAAAGCCGACGAGCTGTAGGCGCTGCCCAAGCCACATGTGGTCCTACAAACAACCCGGGATGGGCGAGGGGATAAATGGCAGCACAGAAACACTTCACCTTCAGAGATCAACGACTCATTAAAAGTGGGGACAAAAACCATCTCTAAAGAGAGATCCCTTGCCGCTGGGGCTCTGCACTCCCAGAGTCCATGCCCCGTTGGGAGCAAGCTTCCTAGCGAGCAAGAGGGGGCCAGCATCTGCCATTCGTGGGTTAACGTTTACAGATGCAGGAGGCCATGCGCCATTGACCACAAGCCAGCGGAAGCGCCACAGCAGCACAGCTCAGCCTGTACTAGTGGGTTTCTCACCAGGAGTCTTGGAACAGGCAACATCAAAGCGATAACAAAGGCTACTTGAGTCAAACAATATTTACTGGACTCTTTATTTGGATTTTCAACAGCTCAGACTGCAGCTCAGCATGACACAGACCACCCAGGGGGACGCCATGTGGAGCCTCAGACAACCCAGATCATCACTCCCCCGCCACCAACCACATGCAAACGGAAACCAGAACTGCGCGCAGGCTAGAGGGTGCTGCAGACCAGCAGCAGGGAGACAATTTACAGACAATTAAGCCTCAACATCCTTCCGGAGTAGTTCTCTGTGTTTACAGATGGGGAAACGGACTTGTAGGAAGGTCAAGGGACTTGCCCGAGGTCACACAGCAACTTAGACTGTAAGATCCTTGGAGAAAGAAGGGGCTATCTTTTTGTTTTGTGTTTGTACAGCACCCAGGATAATGGGGTCCTGGTCTATAACAGGGCTCCTACGCACTATGAAAATAAGTAGTAATAAACTCTGCAGCAAAGCAAGGAATACAAACAAGAGTCCTGCTTCGGAGTCTAGTATGGTAGCTATTAGATCAGGGGTGGGCAAACTTTTTGGCCCGAGGGCCACATCTGGGTATGGAAATTGCATGGCGGGCCATGAATGCTCACAAAATTAGGGGTTGGGGTGCAGGAGGGTGCTCCAGGCTGGGACCGAGGGGTTCAGAGGGCAGGAGAGGGAACAGGGCTGGGGCAGGGGGTTGGGACATGGGAGGGGGTCAAGGGTGCAGGCTCCTGGGCAGTGCTTACCTCAAGCAGCTTCCAGAAGCAGCAGCATGTCCCCCCTCCAGCTCCTACGCGGAGGCGTGGCTAGGCGGCTCTGCGCGCTGCCCTGTCCGCAGGCTCCGCCCCTGTAGCTTCCATTGGCCACAGTTCCCAGCCAATGGGAGCTGCAGGGGCAGCACTTGGGGTGGGGGCAGAGTGCAGAGCCCCCAGGCTGTCCCTACGCATGGGAGCCGGAGAAGGGACATGCCGCTGCTTCTGGGAGCCGCACGGAGTGGGACAAGCCCCTGTCCCCGCTCCCCAGCGAGAGCTCGAGGGCCAGATTAAAACGTCTTGAGGGCCAGATGAGGCCCCCGGGCCGTAGTTTGCCCACCCCTGTATTAATCCTTTTTATTTATCTTTTCCCTGATCACTCTAGGATGGTTTAAAAACATTTCAAGAGATCTGTTAATATCACCCTAGAGAGTGTGAAAACCAAAATAATTTCTAGGTCTACACTGGAGTTCTCCTACACCAGCATGGCCCTGCAAAGTCTGGGTTGCAGGCACTGCAGGGGAATGCTTCTTAACTTCAGTACCTTCACTGGAACTTTAAAGAGACGAACACACAAATGATTCAGAGATACGGTTCTAGTTGTCTGAGCGGGGGTAAAACAGAGGGATTGGTCAACAAATTAAAAATCTACGGAAAGTCTTACTCATATACATGAGCATTCCTCATGTAGCCAATCAGCGCAATTACCCATGACTCTCATTCAAACCAGCACTTAAGCATTCATCACAATCAATGGAATTTAAGCAAAAGCTTACATTTTAAACTTAAGTGCCTTGCTGAATCAGGGCCCACTTGAATAAGGATTTGCAGAACCGAGCCCTAGATATGGAGATAAATTTAACCCAAAAGTCCCTCTAGAGTTTCCTAATCACTGAAAGCAAGCATTGTTCAATCAGCAGTTCAGCTCTGGGTAGTTGCAAACTACCAGAAGGAGCAAGGAAGAGACAGTGCATTGCAGTGCATACAGTGACTAGAGAAAGAAAAAGAATGAACACTACTGCCAGTCATCAGCAATGTCACACTCATAAATGGGCACTACCAGTATGATATACTGTAGGCTTAAAATTCAACCCATATTGCTGTTGTTCTAATCTAGACAGGAAATGAAGGTCCTTTAGATTCCAAAGGGTTCCCCCTGTCTTTAATTTAACTTTATTTAAAAAAAATTAGAACTCCACCCCGCTGTCAGAGAATTCTATACAAAAATGAAAGTTGTAGCAATCAAGTGATTAGAACCTGGGTTCCTTCTCTCCGGGCAGCAACATCTAATGCTTGAAACGGACAAATGAGCAGGAGCCCTGTCTATTCCTGGCTCTGCCACTGCCTCACTGCAGCCTTGGGCCAGCAACTCAACCACCGTGCCTCAATTTCCCCACCAATTAAAATAGGAACACCATTCATCTGCCAGCTGGAGAGTATTGAGAGATTTAATTACAGATTTACAAAGAGCTTTGAGACAGGTTTCAGAGTGGTAGCCGTGTTAGTCTGTCTCAGCAAAAGGAACGAGGAGTACTTGTGGCACCTTAGCGACTAACACATTTATTTGAGCATAAGCTTTTGTGGGCTAAAGCCCACTTCATCAGATGCATGCAGTGGAAAATACAGTAACAAATTTATTTGCTAAAGCCCACAGCCCACCTTAATCAATTAGTCTCATTAGAGTTTGTGACGGGTTGGATCACAGAAACCCCCTTGGGAGCTGCCACCCAAT